CACCCACCTGGAGTAATCTGAACTTCATAGATCCGGACTTGGTGCTAAGGTAATAACTCTATCTAAGCTCTACACCAAAGGTCAGAAGACAGGTATACAAAATGACAAAGAGAAGGAACAAAATGCAGTCTCAGGTCCCGAGTCCACCCAGTATAAATGCAGAAGACACTATCACTGAGGAAACTTTAAATCACACACCAGATATCTCTGAAATAATAGCGTTGACAGTAAAGAATCAACTGCAGAAAGGTATAGAAGAAATCAGATCAGAAATAATTTCGAACTAAAAAAGGTAGTGGTAACTATAATCAAAGAAGTACTAAGTGCTTCTAAAGAATACACTGATAAAAAAAATAGAGCAGAATATAAAAATGATGGAACCCCTGAATAAACAATTTAGGAAAGAAATAGAATCTATGAAACAGGTTCAAAGTGATATACAGGAAATTAAAACCTCAATCACAAGCTGGCAAAACCATTTGAGGGAAAGTGAAAATAGACTTTCTGACCTAAAAGACACCATTGCAGCTAGTGAAAAAGTAAGAAAAGATCTCTTTAAAACAACTAGGATGCAGGAAAAAATAATACAATACCTGCAAGACGATGCAAAGATGAACAACGTGAGACTAATAGGCATCAATGAGAAGGAAGGAGTCAATACAAATGATATAAAAAGAATATGGGCAGAAGTAATAGCAGAAAACTTCCCAAATATGGGGCAACAATCTGACATTCCTGTAACCGAAGCATACAGAACTCCAAATAATATCAATCCAATGAAAACCACACCCAGACATATAATAATCAAGATTCCAGAAATTCAGCATAGGAACAGTATACTAAAAGCCGCTAAAGAAAAGAAACAGATCACATTTAAAGGAAAACCCATCAGAATAACGGCAGATTTTTCTTCACAAACCATCAAGTCAAGAAGAACATGGAGCGAAGTACTTCAAGTCTTGGAAGAAAACAAATTCCAACCAGACTGATCTATCCTGCAAAACTCTCTTTCAAATATAATGGAGAAGTGAAATATTTTCATGACAAAGAACAACTAAAGAATTTCATGATGACAAAGCCAAGCCTATACAGACTACTAAATGATGTTCTAGAGAGGGAGCAAATAGATCACAGCCCCATAAATGAGAATGGAAAGAACCCATCAAATAGGGCAAACAATTAAACAGAGGAGAATAAGAGGTATACAATAGTAGTCTTTTAGTTATTCCTTTGTGTTCAGCAGCAGAATGTTTTCATCAGGACATCCTACAAATGGACTTCTCTTCCACCCTTTGAGTCATGACTCCACCTTAGTCTACAGGGTGGATTTCAAAGAAATAGCTGTAGCTCAGTTCCACAAGTGATGCCTAGCCACCAGTAACTGTCACGGTCATTATGCATGTCCACAACACACTACAACTTTGTGTAATATCCTATCCTCAAACTGTTAGAAGTGCTGGTCATTTACTTGCCATTCCAGTATTTATTTTATGTTTTACTCTTAGTTCTTCTTTGCTATCATGAAAACTTTTTCTGAGTTCAATTGTTTGGAAACATTTAATTTTCTGAATATTGCTTAATCTTAATTTTTGTTCTAAGATTTATATTGTATCTGACTTACAATTTATTTAAAAGACATTGTATGATATCTTCTAGTATTAGAAACTTTAAAAAGTATATTTCCATTTTCTGTTGACTTTAAAAAGAGGTTTGTACCTATGTTGTTTATTTATTACTTCTTGCCTATATCCTGTAATATGAGAAACTACTTTGTCAGTAACAATACACAATGTACTAACCATTGTAACGCTCCTAAAATCTTGTTTTGAGATTTTGTACCATTGTTTTTATTTTTTTCTTTAAAATAAAAATAACTGATGTCAGGAAAAAAAAATATGGAAGAGAAAGAAAAGGCAAGGGAAAGTTCCAGTGGAATATATACTTTTATATAAATATAAATTCTTATATATCTATATGATTATGAATATATTATTATACAGAGAGACAAAGATGGAGACAGAAACAGAGAGAGAGAGAGAGAGAGACTGAGACTGCCAAAAATGTATATATATTTCTGCAGTTCCCTGTACTAATACCTGGAAGCTAATAACTACCACTTTGAGCACCTCTTATGATCTTACAGGATAAAGGTAACTTACACTAATCTCATGGAATCTCAGTAAATTTAATGTTAAAATATTCTCACAAGTTTTTCTTTTCATGATATACACTTTTTTTTGGTGGACTCTATGTGCAACCAGTTAAATGTGGCTAAGGAACAAAAGAAAAATGATTCTAAATTTGTTGTTTTGAGGGACATGACAGATCAGCAGGCTCACAACAGGTAACTACTTGAGGAAAGACGTGGCACTATGCCAAATTCATGTTTAAAATTAGTTGATGACAAGAACATGATTATAGGTCGTTTGTCTTTCAAGTGCTAGATTAATGGGCCTTAACAGAAGGAAGATCACAGGAGATGAGACCTGGGTGTTGGAGACGAAACAATGGGGAAAGGTCTTATATACGGGACACCAATCTGTACCGAAGAGATTTTTGTTTAAACCCTTGCAACAATGTTCTTATTACTGATAAAAAGGTCTCAAACACCTTTTAGCTGATCAGTACTTTTTAGAAAAATGAAAGCACTGATTTGACCTTCAAGGGTAAGAGTACATGCTTTTCATACCATAAAATTTTGGAAGGTAAAATAACAAAGTGTTTTATGTTGCTTTTATAAGGGTAAACTTGAGCCCTTTTTTTTCCCCCAGAAAGAACCTCTTGCTATGCACTTTAAAATCATAGAATACTCCTCCTGTTGACGAGATTCTACAGCACTCTCTGTTCCAGGCTACCGTTTCCTGTCATGACTCTGGGCATCCTATTTGAAATAGCTGGACCTTCTGACCCGGCAAGCTGCTGAGACCTTTCAGACAGTGAACTGGAGATAAAAATCTTCCAGGGAAGTAGGTGTGGGCAGGATGTGTGGTTTCCTTGCTTTGCATCTGAAGGTTGATTCAATTAATTTTTCATAAATGGTTTCTTACAGTAAAAGTTGCATTCCAAAGTGTTTTAAGAGAAATTTAAAAAGACAAGCTAACTACTGATTTTCACTTCAAGTTGAGACTAGAGCACTCTTTGCCTGAATGGCACAGATATGCATAGTAGGGAAACCACGTGCCCTACTGGAATCTCGAACCAGCCTCCTCCCTCTCCCCTCCCCCTCCCCTCCCCCTCCCTTCTCCCTCTCCCCCTCCTCCTTCCCCTCCTCCTCAGCTAGTATGACCTTGAGAGTTCCAATTAGTCCTCAAAGGAACAAACAGTGGAGCAAGCACTCCTTTACTAAAGAAGTTGAACTAAGCAGAAGGATGTGACAACATGTGTCTCAGCCTGGCTCTCGATGTGTACACAGCAGCCTGAATCTGGCAAACATATTTTTAAGCTTTAGTGACATAACACACATAGATTCTTTTTCTGACATTCCAGGCTAGACACTGCCTAAGAACAAGCTCTGCAAAAATATCTGGGGCACGCATATGCTTCTGGAAAAAATTATGGCAACTTTTGCATAATTCCCCCTGGTCTGAGCACTGTAAGCTGTGGCCTGACAGAAGTGCTGCATCGGGATCAGCTGGAGGGCTGGGGAAGCCGCCCATGGCTCTGAGCGGCATTAAGGGAACCCAAACGCAGCTCACTGACCTCTCCGGTCACCTACCCATGGCCACTTCAACACAAGGTACAGAGCAGAGACTAATTCAAACGTGAATCAAAAGCACATGCTGCTGTTGCTTTAAAAAATCACTTTCTCTCTAGGAAAACAACCGCTTCTTTTGTCTCTGCCCCTCACTGAAACCTCTCTGCCTGACACTCGAGGTCCATGGCTCAGAAGAAACAGAAACAATAAGATTTGAGGATTTAAAGTCAAACCATGGTGAGTCACCTCTTATTCATCCCACGGCCACCGAGTCCGGTCAGCAAGATGCCCTCACCATCCCGAGCTGCTTTCTGCTGCTTGGGTTTTCAAAAGGCCCTGAAAAGGCCCTGCTGACTGATGCTCCTATATCACCAACCCACAGAAAGAGTTTCTCTCAAAGAACAAGAAAGCCTTCTCAATTCAGCATTTTAATTTTGCATCACCTTGAGTGACCCTGTCTCTTAAATATGCTGTAATCTCATCACCTCCTTACTAGATTTACACTCCTAACCAAATTATTTAAGAGGAAAATACATAGGTAAGGGCTGAGGGCCAGCGCAGGGGTAAGGTGTTTGCCTAATGTGCAGAAGTGCCTGGGTGCAGTCTCTTGACTGACAGATGTGCAGGTCTTTATATTCAGTGCTCCCTCTCGTGCGTGCGCTCTCTCACTCCCTCTCCCGCTCACTCCCGCTCTCTCTCTCTCTCTCTCTCTCTCTCTCTCTCTCTCTCTCTCTCTTTCTGTGAGTTCTCATTTTTTAATGCTTGTTAAAAGCAGGAGAGTTTACAGGGAGGGGACAAGAATTATTGGTTACTGAGGAGCTTCTACTGTGATAGATACTGCACCACAAGGTGCATAAAGCCTCAAGCAGGACTAGCTACACAGTCTGCAGTCTAAAGTGTGAGTCCCTCATTTAATAATTACAAAATGAGCAGGGGATGTAGCTCACTATCAGAACACTTTCTTAACATACGCAAGACTGTGGGTTCAATTCCCAGTACTGCAAAGCAACAATTAAATAAGTATTATGAAGAAATGCAAGACAGTGAGAACAGAGTATTAATCCAGGAGAAGGGGCCCTCCTAACTGTAGAACTCTATGGGACTACACAGGCCATGTATCAGTGAGACTCGCTCTATTCTCAAAGCCTGGCTTTATCACATGTAAGGCATGTGATCTTGGACAAGTCAATTACAGAATATGGACAGTAATAACCCCACCTCATCTAGTTCCTATTAGGAATAAGACCATATTTAAAAAAGAATACCTGGCACACAGCTTGTATTACATAAATGTTCAGTAAACATATGTTGTAGCAGGTCTAAGCATCTCAAAATACCAATTACAGCCACGACATTGTGAATTTATTAAGACAAATTTTAATGGTGTAAGATTCCTGCTAGTAAATTTTATTTCCACAACAGTGATTACTTTTTATTTTAACAATGTGGAGATTTAAGAAGGATATTTCATATTGAAGCCAGATACTCAAAAAGCAAAACTGAAGAATAAAAAGAAACTCAAGGCTCAAGGCTCTGGAAGCCAGAAAAGTGCAAACTGTCATGAGGCCAATTTAATATAGCTGCTTCCTTTATGCTGAATAATTCACTGGGGACATCACTGCTTCCATACAGGAAATAAAGCCTGTAGTACCTGAACAAAAACTAAGAAATACTTTGTATTTGTGTTTCTTTTTACAGTGGAGTTTTTTGTCTGTAAACAGGAAATTTACTAATCATACAAACTATATTTAGGTTTAAAAATACTACTAAAATAGTAAAACACCTTGCAGACAGTGAAACATACTTTTACCTAATAAAGGAGTCTGGAGAACAGAGGCACACGTATTAGATAAATACCATGTAGTAATGTTTATCTTATAGGAAAAGTTTCAGGTTCTTCAGTGAGTTGTTTGCTTATTTTTAAAACTCCTGACAAGCAGTAATTCACAGGACTTTCAGAAGCCTTTATAATAACAGGGCATAGGAAATAGTGTCGACTGTAATTCTGAAGATACAAGTTTCCATTTGTCAAACGATTCGTCCAAGGTACACAGATTTGGGATACTTCTCTTTAAGAGTTGGCCACTGAACAATGAAATAATCTGAGAGATGAATCAGAATCTTTCCAGAGAGAGATAAAGTTTCCACTCGGCAGATGCTTTCAACGTAGACAATGATCACTTTCTTTATTCCTAGTATTCCAAGGAGAAGAGCAGATACGCAGATAGGAACACACGTCCCTGGTCCGTTACACAACACCTTAAAAAAAAAAAAAAAAAAAAAGTTGAACGTGAACTTAATACAGAAGAGTAATTTATGGAGTCACTTTGCATTAGGAATAGGCTGACCTTAGAGACTTCTGAGTGTGGTCTTTCCCTGTCAAGAACCTGTGATACACAGAGCAACACATTGAGGCCCGTGGTGTGGGTGGCCTGCGCTGTGTGTCTTGGGCCTCCCGCTCACCTGCTACCAGCTCTGTGATGCGGGCAAAGCCATGATGTCCAACTTTTAGCACTGAGTGTGAGTGCCTGGTGCTCGCTGTGCACTCACTGGATAGCGTGTGTTGCTCTTCTCTGACTGCTCTGTAGATCTTGAGTGTCACACAAATATACAGAAAATATATGATCAACTAAGGTTCATTCAGTTTTCTTTCTTATACCAACTTGTTCTTGATGTGAGTGATGATGTCTTTAAATGACTGTCATGTAGGCTATTTTTATGGACTGTAAAATCATTGTGGGGATTCATTATAACAATAGGATATTTAAGAGAAGGTTATCATAGGAATGAGATTTTCCCTCAACAGGGCTTAATCTATGTGTGTGATACAAGAGTTTAAATTCTCCTAGTTTTTATGGAAAGCCATTAGTTAAAACCAATTTAGTTGACTAACTTTACAAGTTGACTAACTTTATAATAAAACTTATAAATACAAAGACTTTTTATAAATCTTTGAAGAAAACAAGAGGAAGCATATTTGATAGGATTGTTGGTAAGATGATTTATTACTATTTCCACAGGAGAAAGCATTTTGCATAGTATCTTAATCATAAGCTTATGTTGACTGAATTAGTAAAACCTAAAAAAGCATTTGATTCCACAAACTACAAAAGAAGAGGTGTGTGGTTGTCTACATATGCCCACTGGGCATGATCTACAACATCACATGATCTTTCAAGCTCACACCTTAGAGTGGGAAGGGTCTCCAGATGTGTTTTCACCATCCCAGTACTTCATGGGCTCTCCCTGACAGACAGCCATGCCATATCCATGCGAATATGGTCAAGGGTGTGAAGGTTTAACAAGTCATCTGTTCCAGGCTCTCCACCTCTGGAGTCATTCACAGAGCTTAAGAAAGACTAGTGTTGCAGGTAACATCTGTTTTTTGTCTCCTCAAAGCTCTTTACTTATAATTTAAGCCTTTTTTCTTTCACAGAGAACTTTCATTCTCTTGAATTACCAGCTACTGAGCTGTTCTCCTGACTGGTCTTCTTTAATCTCCATTAAGCTGTCACCATAACCCTTCTTGCTAGACAACGGAGGCAGTGGAGCTGGGTCCAACATGCTGCACTCCAGCTCTGTGACTTTGGGCAACAGCAGTAACAGTAATCACCACTTTAGTCCTCTCACCACTAGTTACTCACCACTAGTTACTAACAATGCACTCCGGCCAGGTCCTATACTAAACATTTTATAAGTACTATATTTTAATTAATCTTCACATCAATTACTTGAGACAAGTTTCATTATCTCTTCTCTCAGATAAGGAAACTGAGGCACAGAGACATTAAACAAGTCTGATCACACATTTAGGAGGTAAAGAAGTTATGTTGCTCAAGGTTGCTTTTTCCCTAAGTGACTTAGTTACCCTATCTAAAATATGGGGAGGTTGGATTAAATCACTTCTGTCAGCTTCAGGAGTCCATGTTTCCGCGATTCTAATTTGTCTCTAGCTTTGTTTTATGCCTAAATTACAAACTTGCTCTGAATCCTCCGAGGGCTTATAATTCTAAAAATCATTTTAATGCAAAGCATTATTGAAATTTTGGGTTGGATAATGTGTTTTGCTGTTGTTGTGGGGCTTGTCCTATGAATCATATGTCTAGCATCCCTGGCCTTTGTCCATAAAATTCTAGTAGAAACAATCAAGACTCCCAGCACTGCCAAATGTCTTGTAATTCACAACTATGATATTAATGTGCTTCTAATCCTTGGATTATCCTATGTGTGTTGCTCATTCTTGGTCCCCTCCCCACTGTCTGTGCTGGTGAATGAACCCAGGGCACTGTGCGTGCTAGGCATGTGCTCTGCCACCAAGCAACATCAACAGCCCTCAGTATTTTCAATGGCAAAGAACAAAAATTACAGCCAAAAAGAATGTAAGGCCCATCACTGGATCTTGAGTGCCAAGCTATTTTCATATTTGTTACCTTTTAAAAAATGTATATAGCCACATGTATTCATTTCAACATCTAGTGCATCATTTATATGCAAGCTGTGCATACATGATACAGATGGCTGACTATGACTGGACACAGGTAAGAAATAAATTAACAACCTACCATTTATCAGAAGTAAAGACTGTTCAGGTAAAAGGAGAAATTAGAAGTATTTTGTTTGTTATCTCCTGGTGTATAACTCCATATTTTGGGTACCTTATTACAAAAGTTCCAAGCACAATAAAATTATAAATCAAGAATTAGAGATGAGTGGTGGTACGTGCCTGTACTCAGAAGGTTGAGGCAAGAGGATTGCCACAAGTTCAAGACCAGTCTGGGATACACAGTGAGTATAAAACCACCCTTCTTAACTACATAGTAAGATGTGTCTCAAAAAACAAATCTAGAAAAAAGGGCATGGGGAGTGTAGCTCAGTGGCAGATTAAAAAAAAAAAAAAAAAAAAAAAAGCAGGGGGCTGGGGATACAGCCTAGCAGTATAAGTGCCTGCTTGGTAAGTGCAAGGTCTCAAGTTTAATCCCTGGTACAGAAATACATAAATAATAAATAAAAATTTTAAAAAAGCAAGTGAATCCCATGGAAAACATTTAATTAAGCACAGGTTTCAACTTTGAATTGCAATAGCCTAGGAAAATTTTATTTTAAAATGTGGATTACAGAGTTTTCATTATTTGAAGAAGCATATCACAGATACTATTCCAAACATTTAGTAACAATAAGTCACTTAAACAGCCTGGGTAAAGATGATATTAAATAATACGGAGCTGTCTTTTTAGTTTTCTAAAAAACATAGACATATTCTTCACACCTCCATTTCTGACACTTCAGTTTCTCAATGAGAATGCAGGACTACCACCCTGGCCACCTTCCTCCCTCACTGCTTTGCAAGCTCCTTCTAGGCAAGATCCCTTTCTAGGACAATCTATACTCTGCTTTTGGAGTAAAGTAGGTTGAAAGAAAAAAGGATGGAAAGGAAGGAGCAAGGGAGTAAGAGAGGTGTGAACCTTTCTTGCCTATTCTGCGTGAAGCTGAAAGTGCCCTTGACTGACTTGACCATTTGCACTCTCCCGTCTATACTCACCATAAACACCTACATAGTTGGCTGCCATGATGCCTGTAATTACAGGGGCTGCTGTGGCTGCTGCTTCTTTTTAACCATCTCACATCTGTTAACCTTTTCCTCAGGGGAACCAGTATGTCCCTTGGTCTCAATTCAAGTGTTTGACTAGAGCTGACTCCACATCTACTGTAAGTAGAGGACATATGACTCCAGTCTGACAAATCACAGCATCAGATTTCCCTAATGAAAGTCACTTTTTCAGGGAAGAGCACATAACTCAGTCAGAAACCACAGGATTTTGTGGGACATTTGTTGGGGCTGCTGAGAGAGCAGTTCCTTCTCTACTGTTCTGGAACCCAGGAGGATGTGGACCTGGCATAGTCAACATCTCATTTGCCAGATGGCTGTAATTATAGCTTCTTTTTCTTCTTTTTAACCATCTCACATCTGTTCATCTCTTTCTCAGGGGAACTGCTGCATCCCTTGCTAGAGAACTAGAGAATGAAGCCATCAAAAAGCACAGCAGAGCTGAGAGACAGACAGGGCAGATCCTGAAGGCAGCACTCAGGTCCCCGAATCCAGCTGTGTCTGGAGGAAACCAGATCTCTCCGTAGACTTGCCAGGTATGTGCTGGAATACATTCCATCTCTGCTTCAGCCAGTTTGAATCAGTATTTCTGTCACCAAGAATAAAAAGCATACTGAGTCACACAGACTTTCATTTTATCTAACTATTTTGACTGGTCTCTGATCGGCTGCAGCACCCATCAGTGTATGTTCAATATGTATCTGCTAGATGAATTTTAAATCAATAAATAAACTTTTCTAACAGCAGGAAGTTCAAGAGACATACTAAGGTAACATAAATCACAGGTATAAACAATGAAAAAGGTCAGATTACAGAAAGTCATGAGGGTAGATGAGTTGATCAAGAACCAAGACCAATTACACCAGGATTGTTGTTCTGTAGATTTCGGTCATTACAGGCCAAAACATTAACATCCACATACAAAAAAAGGTGGATTTCTAACTTGAATAGTTGGAATTCAAGTCCTAACCCGGTAGGAACCCTCTACACAGAATTTGGGCAAGATGTTTGGGGTTGTGGGCTGGTTGCTGGTCAGAGTGACCATGCAGTACAGGGTGGCTCCAGGATGCCCATGACGGTGAGACTAAAGGCCATAGAAAATTCAGTGAGGCTCCAGTATCAGGACGCTGGACACAGAAGCAGAGTCCAGTTCTGTGGCGCTGGCCTGAAAACCAGATGTCAAGTCACCTCAATCACTGGAGGCTGGTGAAAGGCTATGAACTATGGAAAATGAGCTTCAGGGAAGGTTTCATTGATATCCTACAGCCATAAAGAAACAAGAGAACTAAAGCCCACAGGGAAAACTGAACTGGTATAAGCAGGAAGCCTATAATAGGCAGGTCCTATTATATTCAGTTCTTCTACAGTCTATTAACACCCTTATAAGGAAAGGTAAATGGTGAAGATAAGGGAGTGCATAAGTAATGGCAAGTAGGAAAAGTCAGGAGATAGAGGAAGAAGAAAAGCTTGGTTGTAGTGCTTAACAGGAAGCAAGTGGGGTAAAATATTTTAAAAATGGTTAGAGAAATGAAAGGAAAACCATGAAGTCACTTGCTTCTCAAAAATATAGTAAAGATGATCACATGGTTAGTGATTTATTTATTTATTTTTTTTCCAGCCAGAAAAGTGCCACAAGAAATCTTATATTTGGCCA